AATTATTGAAGTGCAAGTTAAAATCACCAGAGATGTAGAAAGGAATAGAAAAAGAGTAGAGAGATTCAGCGAGTGAGTAGAATTCATCTAAAAATAAAGTGAGAGAAGAAGAAGGAGGGCGATAGATTACAGCAATATAGAAAGATAGAGAAGAAGACTTAAGAGATACAGCAAGACATTCAAAAGAAGAAAAGTGAAAGGAAGTATTAATGGAAGCAGTAAATAGAGATTTATAAAACAGACAGATACCTCCATAAGAAGAATGAGAAGATGATAGAAGATTTTTTGGAGGTCTAGAGAGTTCAAGGAAGCTGTAACCATCAGGAGTAGCAAGAATAAGAGAGGGAGAGTTAGAGTCCTCGTGCCAAGTTTCAGTAAGAGTAAAAAAATCAGGTAAGGAGGAAGAGATTATTTGATGGATATAGAGCGATTTTTTATTAATTGATCTTATGTTAATATTAAACAGTGAAAATGTAGAGGTAGGTTGAATATTGGTATTTTTAAATCTAGTTATATTATTTAAATTAAACTAATAGAATTAGAATTATTATTCTTATCATTAGTATTAATTACATTAGGATTAGAGTAGGATTTAATAAAATTATTATTATTCTTATTATACTTGCTAATAACATTATTATTATTAATATAATTATGGTTACTAACTATATTTATTTTTTTGTTAGAGTTAGATTTATTATTTTTATTGTTATTATTAGACCTAAGATCAAAGTAAAAAATTCGCCGCTGAACCACTCTCGTCGGAGACAAAGGAGTGTTAGAAAGGCTTATAGTCATCTACATGGTCATCACAAACTTTTTTCAATTTAAAATGTTTAAATTTCACTTTTTGCTGCAATTGCATTAGTATTTGTTAATTTTTAGCTAAAATAAAAAACATATTTTGTTTTTTTTTGTAAATTTAAATGTTCACGCGTTAAAGAACTATAGCTCAATTACTGTGCAATGCATATTATTCATTAAACGAAATAACATTTCTAGTAAATTACAGTCTAGTTTGAATGAACAGGATTGGTTTGGCCAAGCTTGCAGGAACCTAAAGCAGGGAAATAATTTCACCAACCAAAAATGTAAAAAACCTGTGATAACAATAAAAAATTGAAATTCACAGATTGACTCATTGCGGAAGAATAAATGCTTTTTAGGGTTAACTGAAAATGGTCCCAAAGGCAACGATGAATCTTTACAAAACCTACAGAGCATAATAACATGCAGCAACAATGCCTTAGAAAAAAAAGAGGTTAGTTGCAGGATGTAAACCAACTGAACGGTGTATCTATTAAGTAGTGCAGTTGAAGAAGAGGTATACTAAGGTTACCGGTGACGCAAATAAAGAAATGTATGGGTTACGCGTTCAGACCAATATTTGGGGATGTGCACAAAACGGAAGAAAGTTTTCTTTTATATGATATTTTAGAAGAGGAAATTCTTTATTAGAATATTTAAATATCTTTGAGATGCACACATAAATAGATTTTTGGCGATTTTTAACTTTCTCGTTATCGATGGAGCAAATTTGGAAATGTATAGGTAACGCGTTCAATCAAATTTTTGAGAATGTGCACAAAACGGGAGAAGGTTTTGTTATATATGGTATTTTTGGGAATAAAATTTTCTATTAAAAGATGCAAATTTTTTCCAGATGCACACATAAATGGATTTTTGGCAATTTTTTAACTTTCTCGTTACCGATGACGCAAATTTGGAAATGTAGGGTTAACGCGTTCAATCGAATTTTTGAAAATGTGCACGAAACGGGAGAAAGTTTTGTTATATATGGTATTTTACGGAATAAAATTGTCTATTAGAAGATGCAAATATTTTTCAGATGCACACATAAATAAATTTTTGGCGATTTTTTAACTTTCACCTCATCGTTGGTATATTAATATATAGCGATTTTATGATGAAGTTTTTTTATTGTTTTATGCAATTTTTAATCTGAATAAATAACAAATAAAAAACAATAATAAATCTTTTTTCATTTCATTAAACCTTTAAATATTTATTATTTAATCGGTTTTTTCATAATCCGCCTTTTACATATGCTTATTCGTCGCTGAGTTAAAACCGTCGCGAACATTACCTTCGTAGTAACGAAGTAGTAACATGGTTCGAGAACAATGGAGTCGAGAAGTTGAGTATATTCTTGCATGTGTCGGGAATGCTGTAGGACTGGGAAATTTATGGAGATTTCCTTATTTGTGTAGCAGTAGCGGAGGAGGTTAGGGTTAGGGTTAGGGTGCTCTTTGTAAATTTAATTATATTTTTTGAAAGACTAATTTTATGTTTATTTTTGTAAATAAATATAATCTTTTTTCTAAATATGCATTGTATTAAATTAAATTAACTTACCCATTCCCAATTTTTATGAATTTCACACCTGTCCTGATCTTGCATGCAGATGATACTTTGATGTTTATTGAAATGAAACAAATTATTTTTTCAATATATATTTTTTAGATTTTGAATTTTTACTGTTACATGCTAAATCCTATTTTATAGTTCTTTAAGCTTGTTGTCAGCATGTTATTATAAATTTTCTACTTCATTTTCTTTCCTGCTAAGATTCCCAGTTTCTTCAGTCTTCTTGTTAAGCTGGAAATGATTTCAGAATATTTGTGTTTATCTTCAAAGTATCTGTAATGCAATTTTTTGTTAAGAAGTTGTTTTTTTGAGTTATAAACAACCAGTTTCTGCTAAAATAGATTGTGAAAATTTACCAAACTTTCAACAAAATAGCTTAATTTTTCAGCTGAATGATGTTTTATATTCTCCTCTTACTTGAGACATCGGATTGATTTTTTGGGTTATATTATATTATATAAAAGGTTAAAGAGTTTAATTGCATCCTGTCATATGACATAATTTATATTACCACTTTTCTTATTGATTTTCATAAAAAATTATATAAATTAAAAATATTAAAATATAAACAAGAGGTTAAAAAGTCAGTCACATCAGTCTACATCCATATTTGTCTTCTGTTAAATGTGTTGTCATCCAACATATCTATTTAAACTTCTATTTTTATGTATTTAAATGTAATTATTTAGAGCTGAAATTCTCCATTTACATTATCTTTCCATGAGTTTAATTAACATATTTTTTAATAATTCAATCTATACCTTTTTTTTAGTCTTTTTTGTGTTAAATAATTTCTGTCCATACATCCATAAAATTATTCAAATTATCTTTTATAAATTTCATCTTAGCATCACATTTCTTCAAGTTTGGAGACAAAATCTAATTTCAACAAATGTATTATTGAGATCAGATTGGTTGATGAAGGAAATTTAAGTTATTTTCAAAATATATGAAAGTATGTAGTGTTAAAGTTAAATAAAACAAGACAATTAACAAACACAAGGACAAGTAATGAATTAACTTAAGACTATTTGAAAGAGCATTGCAAATTAATTTGATTGGTATATATATACGTTTCATTAGATAACAGGATTTAAATGAATATTAAATGTAAACATTTCAAAAATTTTCTTTCCTAGGAGCTTTCCTAATTCCTTACTTTGTTATGTTGTTTCTTTGTGGCATCCCTCTCTTGTACATGGAGCTGGCTGTTGGTCAATATACTAATCAGGGTCCAGTTTGTGCCATTAAATCTCTTTGTCCATTTTTTCAAGGTTTTTAGTTTATAATAATCTTGATGTTAATTAATCACATCACACTCATTCCAGACAATTCAGTTATTACTAAAAAGATTCTGTAATATGTTTTTCTACAATTTTTACTGCATTCACGTGGCTTGTTACTTCTCATCAATAAGTGAATATAATAGCTGATGTATATCATCCTAGTGCACTTGGTGGCAAGCTACTAAACATAATTCGTTTGTGTGAAAGACAAATGAAATGTCAAATGGCTTACACATTTCCAAAGTTTAGAGAAATCAACACACAAACAGCTTATGTGAATATATAATCATACTCGAACCCGGTCACTGCACACACCGCAAAACAGGATTAGGCGTCTTCAACCACTAGGCCATCACGCCACTCGAACAATGTGTTGATGTTTCGTCAAAACAAGCTTTAAAAAGTGATATAGCCCTATTTCTTTTGAAGAACAGTAAAGAAATCTTTGGGTCAGTTGCTGCAAAATGCAATCTTCAAGCATTAAATTTTGCTACATCATTAAAATTAGTAAGAGTTGATGAAAACTATTTCTTCTTAATTCTTATTTTTTACATAGATGTACATAGAATTATTTAAAAGATCTACATTTCCCTTATTTATGTTACAATTCACTGCAAGTTAACACATCTATATTATTTATCAAAAAAGGTGTTGGTTTGTCTACAGTTATGTTGAGTTTTTTCCTGGCAACATATTATAACGTTATACTATCATGGGCACTGTATTTTTTGATTGAATCATTTCAAACTCCACTGCCTTGGTCTTCTTGCAATAACTGGTGGAATGACATTTCTACATGTGCTGTCTATAAATATAATGATACGGGTGAATTCAATAATGCGAGCTTCATTAAAGACAATGTTACAAAGGAATCACCCTCTGCACAATTTTTTAGGTACATATTATTTGATATTTATAATATTAATTTTGGTTTATTTGTTTATATCAACAAAATTCATTATAAATTTTAAACAAATGTAAATTATGGCATTGATTTTTGGATTGTTCAATTTTGATTTTGAACGTGTCATCAATCATTCAATCAATCAATCAATAATCTTTGATCCTTTAAGGGACTTATAAGGGTGATGACATCCACCTTTTCTCTTGATTTCCAAAATCCTCATATACCTTTAGCTACTTTCATTGAATTTAACGTTCCCACCCTAGTCCATTCTATAGTGGGATCTTATCTTTCTTTTAGCAGGGTTTTCACATTTTTTTTCAGTTTCTTTTTCTCACAAAACAGTTTTAATAAGCGTTTTTTATCTGGCGTTTCAAAAAGTTGTGGTCCTCTTGCTTTGATTCTTTCACAAATGCTTTTTCATTTTCTTATAACTTTCTGTTTCTAATTGATTTCTAACAATTTTTGTGGCAATCTTTTTAAATGCTTCCTATCTGTTTTTGTTTCGTTTCTTTATTGTCCAAGTTTCTAAAGAACAGACTGATTTCTATTTTTGTATACTTTGTTTTATAATGTTACAAATTTTTAAATTTTTTTTCAACGGTGCAAGCATTTTTTGTGCAACATACATATTTTTATGCACGCACAAACGCCGCATCATGCACCCATATGCATGGCGTACAAAACTATGTTTTTCTAATAAAGTTTTTGAACCAAGCCACTGCGGGACATGACACTTCTACCATCTGAGATAACTTGCCGACCTCTAGTTTCTTTGAATGTGTTTGTAATGTTTCACTTTCTCCTGAAATAATCACTTTTGTTTTTGTTTTTTATGTGGTTTTCAATATCTTTTCCGCTATCATGCGTCTACTCTTTTAAGAATATTAAATAATAGTTATTATTGTTGATAATTTTTTGTCTTCAAAGATTTACCATCATTCATTGGCTGCCAGAGATCAAATAATTATTGCTATCCATATTTTAAAATAGAAATGGATGCGCATTGTGATATAGCAAGCTATATTTTTTATTTACATGCTTTTTTAACCAGGAAAAAAATCTTGAAACAATCATCTGGTATTGATGTACCTGAAACAATACAGTGGGAACTTGCATTGTTGTTACTTTCAATATGGATCTTGGTTTATCTTTGCCTTTTCAAAGGGGTCCAATTAACTGGAAAGGTGTTTTATTATTTTACGAAGTTAAATGTTCTAGATTTTACAATTTCAATTGACATAATTATGATATCTGGTTAATAGATACAACAGATGAAATTTTCAAGTTTTCAATACAAGTATTTTAATTTTTTACAAGCCGCTCAAACATTTGGTGTTTTGCATTATTAATTGTTACTGAGTAAGGGACTACTATAAGGGACTACGTTGACGCTCAAAGCAGCAGACGAGTCTTGTAAAACTTAGAGAAGCTTTATAAAACTGTGTATGAATGATGAAACATGGAAACCTATAGAGGAGAGAGGAAATTTGAAAGTGAAAAAATTGGATAAAATACAAGGAAGTGGGCCACAAAAAAGCGAAGAATTTTAAAACAAAGGTTTTTTTTTACAAATTATTCTTTACTTAGTTACAAATTAAAATTTGCACACAAATGCTGTGCATCAAAATCATACGATATACACATTGTAATCAAGAGAGGTTTGATAGTTTTTGAGCTTTAAGCAGATGGTTTTCGAACCACATAAGCATGAAATAACGTTGCAAGGCGTGGCAACCTACTCACAACGTCTAACCTAACTTTTTGATCAAAAAGTGATTAAACAATTTTGTAAACTAATTTAATTCAATTTACAATTCACATATACTCTTAAAATTACAGTTAAGCTTTGATCAAATTTAAATGTAATAATTGCCTGATTATATTTGCACCGTTTAGGTGGTTTACTTTACCGCCACATTTCCTTATTTAATCATATTGATGATGATGGGTTACGGAGTTACTCTTCCAGGATCCAAAGATGGAATCTTGTACTTCATCACACCCAATTGGCAAAAAATTTTATCTCCAAAAGTTAATTTTTTTTATTCATTTACTTTAATGTTTATTGGATTTTTGTGAGTTGAAGGATAAAATTAAATTATTTTTATGTTTTATTTGATAATTAGACAGTATTATCAAATGCAAAACTGCAATCAAATTTGTTTTTTAGTGCAGTTTATTCTAAATTAAGTGTGCTGCATTAAAATGTCGCACATCGCAAATTAACACTATTTGTACAAGAAAGCAATTCGTCAGTTGTACACTAAAGCTTTACATTTTAAAGAAGAAATGTATTACGAGCTGGGCACATTACGCAACTGATGACGGCAGACAACATTTTGCCGTAAGCTCGTTAAAAATTTTATCGTAAAACTTGATAATTGATTAATATTTGATTATTTTTATAATACACAAGGAACTCAAAAAAGCAGTAGTTTAAAATTTGGTATCTTTTTTAATTACTAAAGAAAGCGGCATACAAAGGCTCTGTATATCATTGTTAATTATGCAATTTTAAACCACACTACTGACGTCACAAAACAGCTGAGTAAAATTGTTAATGATATCTTAAGCAGCTAACAAAGCCGTTTAAACTGCATCTATGTGTACAAGGGCGGGCCTAGTTTACAGGTGTGGAAGCCCTGTGGTAACGAAAAAATAGACACTTAGTTATTTTTATTATTTAATTTTTAGCACCAACATGACAATAATTGACAACCTTTTTATTTGCTTATTTTACATTTTTGATCAGTTTCTCTAATAAAACGAGAGTTTTTAACAAGTATTCTACAAAAATTTGTATCCATGTTACAATAACTTTTTTGAGGAGGCCACATTTTTTCGCAGAGGCCCTGGATAAGGGACTCAATTATAATAAATGCTACTTGACGTTGTTTTGAATTGATGATAATTGCTGGCTGGAAAAAATGATGAAAATAGAATATTAATTAAAAATGACTTTATTTATAATGATCTTTCATGCCGATTTAAATTGCTTTAACCTTAAAGGTATGGGTCAATGCTGCAGCTCAAAATTTTAATTCCATTGGAATTGCCTTTGGCTCCATGATTGCGTTTGCAAGCTACAGCAATAAAAAGAATAACGTTTTCAGGTTAATTGTTTTGCATGAGAATATTTTGGCAACACAAGTTAGTTTTCCTGCTAGTAAAAATTGAACAAGATGTGTAAAAAAGTTAGATAAATCAATAAAAAATATCTAATTTTATTTTGACTGTAAATTGTAAACAAAATTTACTCAATGGAGATGAATATTCGAAAAAGTTCAAGAATATGGTTTTTAAAATATTAAAAAATTGAGGTATTTTTCAATTTGAAATAATTTGTTAATACATTTTTTCAAATAACAGGGACTGTTTATTTGTGTGTTTTTTAAACTCGGGTACAAGTTTGCTGTCAGGGTTTGCCATATTTTCCATTTTAGGATTTGTTTCAAACAAACTGAATATTGATATTGAAGAACTGGCCAAAGAAGGTAAAGTTTGTCAATACAAATTTTAATAAAGTTAATTATATATATATATATATATATCATATATAACTAACTAGCGCTAGATAAATCTTTTGATAATAATAATAATAATAATAATAAATAAATATATATATATATATATATATATATATATATATATGTATATATATATATAAAACTTTCGGGAGTTAGAAGCAAAACAAAATAGAGTTCAGCATATACCAGCTACGTTGAATAACCTACTAGATGAATGGAACAGATGCGAAAAAAGCTGTTACCATGAAAAATTAACTCAATGAAGTTCAAAACAAAAGACTCAGTACTCATAAATACACCTCATGGCTTGAATTTTATATCCCGGGATATGAAATTCAATACACACACACTTTTAAAAAAATTTTCATAAACATTATAATATAAATTTACATATGTCTGGGTATTAATTTTTGTGCAGAAAATCGCGTTGTCGCAGGGCTAAGGTTATGGCCATGGTTAGGATTAGTACAATAGTACAATACAATTAATCGATATTCATGTAAAAAAATTTAATGTTAAGCTGATTTTAAAAACTACATGTATTGGAATAAGAGTTGTCATTTTGCACACAAAACATTCTAAGATCTTTAATAGCTTTTTGTACATCCTATCGATAATCCAAATTAACATGATGTAACGTAAGATTAAAAAAAATTGTATGTTCAATTAGGTGACTAATAGACTGATGCATCACATTATTCTAAAATACACTCAAGCATGATTTGTTTCGGTGAAAGTGTATACTTTAATGAGCTTCAGTGTATTAACATCAAAATTTAAAATTAAGTTTTAATTAATATTTTATGTCGAGTGCCATATATACTTTCTTTTGCTGTTCCTCAGAATATGTAGACATTGTGGGACAATGCATACACAAAGAGGAGCCATCAAATCTCACTTGCAATCAACACTCCAATAACCCGCCAAATTCTTGACAACAGCACATAAATAACTTATCAAAACACCAACACAATACATCTAAAAATTGCAGAAGCTGTTCTTATAAATATCAATAAACCCCAAATAAACATCCAACAAACAATGATAACATTACCAACATGACGCTTTAATACTAATTTCAATAACATTGAAGAACAAAGGCATGACAACAACAAAGGTGAAGAATACGATACCAACTAATAAACTTTGCTTTGTTTAAAGAAACTATATAACTACAGCACTGAAGATTGTTTATGAAAAATCTAAATAAGGCCTTATCTGCATAATGAATTTGGATAACAACAGTTTTATTAAATTTTCATGATGAACTGGATAATTCTATTTTCAACAAATTATTTTAGATTATATTGAGAATGTACCGTTTTGAAAATTTCAGGTCCCAGTTTAGTTTTTCAAATTTATCCAGAAGCTTTCATTCCAATGACCTATCCATGGGGCAACATCATGGCTTTCTTCTTTTTTTTTAATCTCATCTGTCTCGGTATAGACAGCCAAGTTGGATTTATAATTGATTATTGTAGAAATTTTGTGATTTTCACATTCTCGTTAAATTTTCTTTGAATGAAATACTCAGTAAATGAATTTGTATTATATTTAAATGTGTATGTGAAAATTTTCATTACATATTATTCTGATCGGCTTAATAGTTGTGCTTGGGACATTTGATAGTGGCTTTTTTATTGATGATCTTCAATATTGTTTTTCTTATGATTTTTACTTTTTTGTGTGTGTAGATATAGGAAATGTACAAAATTTTCGTCTACATATTTTGATAATTAAAGGTAGAGTAAGGTAAATTTAAATTTGAGTAGCTGAAAAAAATAAGTGATGAAGATGATATTTTGTCTAAACTTAATAATACCTAATTTTAGTTTGCATCCGTTGAAGTTGTTTTGACAACCCTGAAAGATCACATAAAAAAGCCATATCACAGAATATTGAAAAGAAGAGAAGTAGTCACATTAGTCGTTTGTGTTGTGGCATATTTTCTTGGATTGCCTAACATTACCCACGTATTTTTTTCTAAAATTATCTCTTTTATATTTCATAAAATTCATTGAAACTTGAGAGCTAATATTTGAGGCTATCAGCATTTTACCCTGGTAACCTGCATAAAATAATTTAAAACTAAGTAAATAATTATTAATGCTTAAATAGTTGAAGCATGATTTGAATTTTTTAACTAGGTTTGTTCAAATTAAATTTTTTTTTCGATTATTTAATCTCAATTGGCTTAACGTGAATTTTTTTTATTGATCATCATAATCAATCTTTTTATATCAGGGGAGTTTCATGCCTGGTGGTTCATTGCTGCATATTCTTTGGCAACTTGTACTCCTTGTTGTGGCGATATCATTTGTTTTGTTTTTCCACACGGCAATCGTGTCCTGCATTTCTTATGTATCCACCCATCTCAACCTAACAAATCTTCCCCTATCTTACTTACGAACCTGTAACTCCAATATATTTGTACTTCTATCTCTACGAACATTTTATGAGACGCAGAAATTTTGACTCAATCCTGACGTATCATTGCTGAAACTATCAGACTGTTTAGGCCGTTTTGATCGCAACTCATAATTGTCTGAAATCTTAATCATAAATACATTTATATTTGTAAATGTAAAAAGTACATTTGTAGCAAATGTTTTGTTCTGTTATATTATTTTAACACTAAACTATCAATATATATTTTTTGAAAATAATTCTATCACAAGCAGGCCGCCAGATCAAATTTATAACTTGACGTTCTTTATCCAGAAACGTCATAGAAACGACTGTTATACTGTTATAAATGCTATCAACTATCGTATACTCACTCATACGCATGTTAGATAATAACAACCAAGTCATCTGTATATGACGCTTCACAAACTTCGCTAACAAACGTGGATTTGTTGTTTATACCAGCCTGATCATCAGCCTTGTTTCTATGCCGAAATGAATTTTAATTTTCTGGTCGGCTTTTCACAGCGCTCTTCTTATGTTACCAATGTTCTGCCATCTTGTCAGATCAAGTTATCAAAAAGATATAAAATTAAAAATCACCTTTTGAACTTAACTTACGATCAGATAGTGCACAAGAATCTTTTACAACAGCAGCCGAAACAAAATTTTTTGAATTAATTCGTAATTAAATACATGTAGATGGATTTTCTACAATGTCTTGTCTTTGGAATAAAGCATTCGAAAATTGTTTTGAGTGCTAAAAAAATGTGTTATTATGATATTGTTGATATTTCGTTTTTACCATTACATGAAGTTAGTTGCAAATATCACCGCTTCTAGCGAACGAGTTACGACAAACGCCATATACTCGTAACCTGATTGCTAGTAAATTTAATTACTTTTCTCTTGATCTCTGTTAAATATTTGTGACAGGGTGGGATATACTTTTTCAAACTCATTGATTATTATTCATCTGGAATTTCATTAATGCTAATTGCATTCTTCGAAGTTGTGGCTATTAACTGGTTTTACGGTAAACTTTTTACATAGATTTTTTGTGTGTTGTTTAACGTTTTATGTATTTTAATATTTATAATTTCGACCATTTTTTTTTTATTTATTTTTTTAATTGTTGTGATTGAGTGTAGCGATTTAAATTCAAATTTTAAACGAAAAATTCCTCCTGGAATATTTTTATTGTCATGAATACTGAATTATAAAAAAAAATAACTCAGACCTCTGAACTGATTAAACACTGTAAAAACAAAATATTTAAAATAAAAAAATTCTCACGCTTATTTAGATTGCACCATCAATAGTAATATAATTTTTAAACTGTTATAAATAGTATACAATAGTATTTACAATAAAATACAATACAAATAGTATTTCTTTCTAGTGCGATCAAATCCATAATAGAAATTATGCATGCATGTGTTATAAAAAAATAATCACTTAATTTATTTCTTACGTTACAGGAGCCAACAGACTGTCGAAAAACATCGCGAGTATGAATGGTAAGGAACCTCTATTCTACTTCAAATGTTGTTGGTACGTTGTCTCTCCCGCTCTCATTCTTGTTAGTTGAAATTATTACATACTAAAGCCGATTTATATTTATTCCAACTTTTGAAAATAAACATTTTCAGTTCATAATGGTATTTAACTGGTCCAATTATTCTCCGATAAATTACGGTTCGTACATCTTTCCTGTCTGGGCTGATATTTTAGGCTGGTTCATTGCGTTCCTCTCACTTGTTTGCATTCCTGTTGGCATGGTCAAGGCAATTTATCAATCCGATGGTTCATCATTCATTTCCGTTAGTAATCAATGTTTATTCTTATTCTGTTTGTTATAATTATGCATAGTTGGAAATTAGAATCAAATATGACTTTATTGTCGTTTTTTATTTTAATGATTTTATTGTCATAAACAACTATAAGTTGACTATAATATAATAACCTATAAATCTGTTTATTTCATAGCATTTTGAAAACCTAACATTAGCTAGTATACGTGCTATAGTTGTGACAAAACTTGGAAGCGATATGTGTATAGAACAAATGTCGCTTGATAGTTACTTACTGTATACTGTTTCAACTACTTGAACTCACCAACTCACATCTTTTTTCTTTCTACTTAACCAAATCTTGTATAACGCTTGTTTGGGTTATTTCCAATCACATGTTTTTCATGCATTGAGAAAGTAAACCCAAATCTGTGAACAAGCTATACACAGAACATCCCACAACGCATCTTACTTCAAACTCAACTGCGTACAACAAACAATTCCATCCACTTTGCTTTATTTTGATGACCTACTTTTCATTGTTTTAAGAAATCTCGCGGTTTTCAAGGTGTAGCTTGCAAGTATATTAACATGTGCTTCTCAATTACGGGAATTGAAATTGGTGAAAAAATCTTTGGATAACGGAACTTGGTACATGTTAATATATGCGTATCTTTGGCTGTTAGAGGCGTGTAACAATTCATTTTTTGGATTAGTAAGTTGGTCTAATTCTTGCTCTAATTTGGATACAAATTTTTTCAATATTATATAATAAAACATTGAAGTTAATTTTGAAATATTGTTTGTAATTTACTTTGCATAAATTGTGATAAGTTTAGACACTAGATATAAAAAGTATAGTCTAGCCGATCATGCGACAACTCCTTTGGCTGATTCTGTCGAAAAAATATCAAGTTTAAAATTTGCACTCTGATATTCAAGTGTATAAACGGCTTGGCACCAGAATAATATTTATCGAAAAGGATTATTCATATGTTACTGCATTCTGTAAATTAGGTAAGCATATAGATCTATTTCGATAAAAAAAACTTTTATTATCATCAGTGCAATTACAAAAAAGATCTATTACGCTCTTTCTAGGTTCACGCGGGGATCATTTTGTCAAATTCGAATCCTTTGTTCCCCATTGTTATTGGAGTTAGCATTAAGGCGTCGAGTTGGTAATGATATAATCATTCTTTGTTGGATGTCTATTTGAGGTTTATTGATGTCTATTGGGACAGCTTTTGCAATTTTTGGGTGTATTGTGTATTTGCATGTCACAAAACGATAAAAATTGAATCAAGGTAAAACCAAGTCGTTATCAATTTATTCTTTGCAGCAGACGTCAAAACTTATTCATATGATACCTATATATATATATCCGAATCTTTGACAATCGGTGACTTCATTAAATTTGAAAATATTGCAACAGTTCTTGTCTTTACCCTGGACATTATTTTCGATAAACTTCTTTCTAATCAGATGTTTAAAAAAAAGTTATAAAAATTTCGAAATTTCAGTTTTCCTAGGCATATAATTGAGCCACGTGAATGCCTTTATGCCACTGTTATATAAAACAGACTGTCTCTATGTGTCTTCATGGTATCAGTCAGATGTTTGTCCGACTCCTTGATTGAGCTGCGTGGTTCCTGGTTCTGTTTCGCAGTAACTGAGTTCAATTCGAATATCACAAAAAAATCCCCGCCTATCTCATGCTCCGTATGTGATACATCGTTTAGTATGTTTTCGTATACTATGCCTGTGGCGTGTTGATTCCTCTGGGCCTATGAAGAGCGTGATAAACCTTTAAACCTTTTTTTAAAATAATGTTATAGATTTGATTTCACTCTACGCAAACTGTATTGCTATTTCAATATCTGACGAGAAATACAAGGACTAATATATTTTAGTGAAATTAAGGAAAATTGAAACTTGATATAATTTAAAAGTTTTTTTAATGTTTTTAAAGAAATATATATGAGTTTGTTCGCATTAACTTTTTGTAGAACATTACTATTATGTTATTTGCTTAGGTCTTCGAAAAATTCGCGTACAGCTTCTTACACATGTGTCGTAATTTTTATAAAAATTGCGTTTTGGAGCCAACTGTTTTGGCATTTTCGGTCTTGCGTTTGATCCACTCTTCTTGCCGAACGCTCATCATTGAGATTTCAAAATGGCATTTCTTTCATCTCTCAAATTTGAAATTGCATACTTCTGAGAACACCCATGTTCTTAGCTAAATTTGTAGTTTTTTCTTCTACACGCCGTTTATAAACAAACTCGTCGGCTTTTTCAAACCTAACCTGTCCAAAAGTCATCTATTTAATATTTTAGTTTGTTGAATTTGATCCTTGTCATTAGTTCTTTTTGAGTTTTGGTTGAATTTTTGTCTTTGAAATTTAGAAAATTTAACAAATTTTAAAAATTAATTTTAAAATATTATACATTATTTAGACGTCAATCAATCAATCTTCGTTTTGCGTCCAGAGACCCGGTTTCCCGAGGTAGGACGTTGTTTACTTTGCCATCAACTTTTTGCGCCAAATTAGACGATCAGTTATATCCATTTCATTTAAATTTAGAGCTTTCATGTCTTGCTCGATTGTTTGCGACCAGGACTTCTTTGGACGGTCTTTGGGACGTGTGCCAGGTACTTCAACATCTGCAAGAGAATTTATGGCACTGTTTCCACTTCGTTTGACATGACCAAACCACCGCAGACGGTGTTGCCGGCATTCGTCCTTTATATCATCTAAACCAGCACGACGCAGGATTTCGGTAGATTTGATGTGGTCCTTCAGACTAATTCGTTGCATCCATCGGAGCATTTTCATGGCGGTTCATTGAAATTATTGTTCCAGTTTGGTTGTCATTGGCCATGTTTCTGCACCATATAACAAGACCGAACGTATCACAGATTTATAAAGTCTTGACCGTAGTGGTAGTGGGATGTCACGCCGCATCAATATAGAGGCAAGGAGATGCCATTTATTCCAGGCTGCACGTATGCGTGCTCGAACGGCAGCTTCAGCTGTTCCAGTACAATCCAGAACATCCCCTAGATATTGAAACGATGTGACTTTCTCTATTTTAATGGCTTCAAAAACAGTGCTATTTCGAATTTGTTTTTGTGGATTGATGCAAGTAGGACAAACAAAATTGGACACTTTAGATAAAGTACCAATTATTTTTGAACAACGTTTGTGACACCACTGGTTACACTGCTGACACTTGATTGAATTGTTACCTACACCAGCTTTACAAACTGAACAGGGCCATCGTCCAGTAGCTGTGGATTGGATGGGTTCACCAGTGTTCATTGCTTTGGTTTTGCTGATGTTGACTTTGAATCCATGATCGGCGAGTCTGGTGTTCCAATCTTCAAACATCTGTGCTGTATTCTGCTCAGACGTGGTTGTTAAAGCAATATCATCAGCATATATTAGATTCCAAATGTCACCAGTGCGTATCGGTTTTGTGATTTCTTCCATCACAGTTATAAATAACAGTGGACTGAGAATCGAGCCTTGGTGAACTCCAACGCCGATGTCAAATGCTTCTGTGTTTCCAACCGTTGTGCTGACAAGAGTCTTAGTATTCGTATACATTTCCATTACAAGTCGAACAAGATATTCTGGAATGAGTTGTCGACGTAGACTCCACCTGGTTGCTTCACGGGGAAGCAAAGTAAAGTTAAAGTTATTTTAATGTTAGTTATTTATGTATACTTTCATAACGTTTAAGCTAGTAAGGTTAATAATGAAAATTAACAACTGCAGAAACTGAGAAACAGCTTCGTTCCAGAAAATGACAAACTCGTTGGTACTCCTCATTTGAGAAGTCTTTCACAAACCAGTGTAAACAGGAAACAGCATGATATACATTCAGTTTCTGCTTCTTTATTATGAAAAAATAATTAAGTTTTGAGATGCTAATTTTTGCAAAAGATATTTTATTGTTTACTATTTATTTAGTATTTTAGATTTCACACATTAATGATAAATATAAATTATCGCTCATACAAATTAATTACCAGTGGTAAAACGGTATACTTTATCAAGTTGATGTAAACGAATTTATTATCATAGATTTAATCTGTTTAATTTTCTCAAAAGAGATTTTAATTCTAATGCTGCAACCTTACGAAGGTTTTTTAAATTAAGATATCTCATGAGTTACGTATTTCTATTTTTTGTTTAATTATTGAACGGAAAATTAAGGATTTTTATTTGATAGAATTTTTTTTTCTTCTATTATGATTTTAATTTGTTTATGTACTTATGAAATGTTTATATTCGATAATTTTAATGCGACATATCAAGCGTTTTAATTAGGGGTACTGATTATTATTATTGTTAGTAGCCGATGTAACGTTCATGAGTAAAGAAGTTATAACTTTTTAAAGAATTTATATTAACTTTCGATTTATTTCCGTCGTCGTAGAAGAGTTTTTTCTGTAATTATTGCAGCTGTTATGTTCATTTTGCCACATGTTTATTCATTGTAAATCTTCAGAGCATTACTATTTTTTTGATATCATTTTTAGAAGGTATTTTAAAAGCACTGTATTATTCAAATCAAATAGCCAATAAATATTATCTTATAAAATAGTTTTTTTTGTAAACTACCCAAACCCAAACGAAATATTACTTTAGCACAGTACTCCGCAATTACAGTACTTGCACGTAATTCAGTTTTACATATAAGACACTATTTTTGTTTTTTACAATTTGGCTTAAATATGTAGTTGGAAACAAGAAATTCAGAAAAGTAAGAAATGTAACTTTATTACTTTTTCATTGTCTGAATTATTTAAAAACTCTGTTGTCAGTGTCAAACAAACCTCTTCTAATATTTAGGTCTATATGCTTTTGGGAACTAACATTTTTTGTTAGAATATAAAAAAGTCTAAAAGTATGTCAGTGCTGAATAAATGCCATTTAGCTGCTTTAATGAGAATAATGATAACTGATCTGGTTCCATATTGCTAATTTTCCTCTTACAACCCTCGGAGATACTTTTTTATAACGCAAAGGCCTTTACATTTTATTATATGAGGTATGATTTTACCCAACTTTGCATATAACCGAATACGACAAATATGCATTTGTTATCAGCATTATCAATGATTTTGTACTGTTCTAAATAACCTAAAATAATAAGAAAATTATAAATACGTCCTAATAACATAAAATATAATAAGTATTCCAATCTAAATAGCGAACTTAAAAAAATAAAATATAATAAGTATTCTAATCTGAATAGCGAACCATTGAGCTATAAGTTATAACTTATATATGACTTATTTATAACTCAATGGTGCAAACGTAAACTCCGAAACCGACTGCTCTCATGGATGCGACATGTCATTACGTGGTGTAGCTAGTGTAAAATGTATAATTTTTGAAATTTTTGGAAATATTAGTCTAGAAATTAGTCTAGTAATTTTTTATTGTTAATCAAGTGAATTTTGGGTCGACTTTTTACATAAACTGTGTTTTTTGTGCAAAAACTGAATTTTACTGACTACTGTTCATAAGGGTCCCACTCGAGATCAGCCACTAGTTTAGTGCGTATCAGCGGGAATGCCTGTCAAGCACAACGATCTTAAATCGCCTTAACGTACATTATAAAAAAGATACTAAATATGCATAAATGTTATGCAAATACATGAAAGAAATCAATTAAAAAATAATTTTAATGAATAAAAATTAGAAAAAATGAATAAATATTTATTAATAAACACAATTTCACAATTGTGAAATTTGATTAGTTTAATTATGAATTATTCATAGAAACTAAACAAGACCTGGCTCTAAAGCGCACTAATAATGTGTAGGTATTCTAAGTATATGGTGTGTATGATATACAGGTATTCATATATATATGATGTGTACAGGTATTCATATATATATATGATGTGTAGGTATTCTAATTATATGATGTGTATGATATACAGATCTATAATATACTGTGCTAAATACAATGTAATTAATTATTATTGATTTTATTAAATATAATGATCTTTATTTTTTTTAGTAAATGATGTAATACTTGTAGTTCATTGAGACATTTTTCAACAAAGATTATTGTAAAATTTTGCCGACAGGAAGTCGAAATATATTATCTTTCTTTGGATTTACAACTTCGTGGTTCTCTGCTGTGGTGTTAGTTTGCTGCTCCGGCTATATATATCCGATTTTTTGCGAATTAAACGTACCGAAAGTTGTTTTCTGTTTTGTCGCTCTAACCTCTTTTTTTGTTACGTATCAACGATGAGCAGTGAGCGAGAGCGATTCAAACCAGGCGAAGGTGACTGGGTTTGTGGAGAAGCAAAGTTGGTTTTCTCTTCTTTTTTCTATTTTGAACTTGCTTTTATATTTAATAAATTTGGCGAATCATATAACATCATTGTAACATCAACATATTATTTATTTATTTATTTAATCAAATTTTTTATTAATTTATTAAATCAATGGTTACTGAGTGGCTCATTCAGTTATATTGTTGATAATGTGTCAGAGTCAAGATAAAAATATCCAACTCAAGCCCATTAAAAATTAAAAATACTGACTCTGGGTGAAAAGTATAAATAAATACTGACTCTCGACTTCTGGTTTGAATTCTAGAAAAATTTTCAACTTGTCAAAATGATTTCATCTTAGAGGACTGCGTGGGAAGACATTTTCATTCCCTCACCCTTCCCTTCAAAAAATATTCATTCCCGCACTCACCCTCATGACTTTGTTCCCATTCCCTTCCCGCACCATAAGCTTCCCATTCCCGCGAACACAAATGAAAAATTAATGAGAATAGTATGACTATCTTCATTGACTGAACTCACCTGATATCTTTGGCACACATCTCAACTAGCATGTCAGCAACTTCACTTTTAATATTAGCAGGTACTTTTTTACTAACTTAACCATATATATCTGATATTTTCCTTACATCAATTTTGGCGTTTATTTTCGGGCAGGCCTTTGTGTGGTTCATCAGTCCGCTGGTTCCATCTCTCTTCTTCCACTTCAATAAAACTTTGCAGTTAATGCATTCAATAAAATTGCTGTAAACATCTTCCACATTTACCATCACAAAGTTTTCCCAAATAGGACTGACTGCATTGCTATTCGGAATAAACTTTATTGCTTCACTTTTACTGGCAATCAGTTTGAGAAGATCGCATCGCTCCATTGAAATGAATATCAATAAATTAGAAACTAAATTAAAATTTTGACTAGAAAACAGACTTAAAACAAACCAATGAAACAAACGTAAACAAAGAGTTATTTTCGTGAAGCAAAGAAATTTAAACAGTTTTAAAATAAGTAAGTTAAAAATTAAATTACGTATGTAACTTGCTAATGGAAAAAATTTCCCATTCCCATTATTCCCGCGGTATTTTACCGATTTTTTTCCCCACTAACGCGGGTACCCTCGAAAATATTTTCCATTTCCGCGGGATGGTTTCCCACGCAGGCCTCTATTTCATCTTATCACTACTGAATAAAATATACTTTCAATTTAAAAAACACTTAAATTTAAAATAAGATAAATTGTTTTTCTTAGTAAAATTACTTGATTTTTTTGTTTTTTACTATTATCTTTTTTTAGTATTAAAAATGATTCCTTGTCGTTATCGCTACATGTATTTGTTCTTTAAAAAACAATTGTAAAATAATTTTCAGAGAAAAATTTTTTTTAAATTATATTTTCCAGAGTCAAAAGTCCTTTAAAAAATCTGCCTTCAACTCACGCCTCTAAACAATCCAACTTTAGCCTCTTAAAAAACTGACCGACTTTGACTCTGACACTAATTACATTTAAGATGGCAATGGGTTTTTAATTTACCATGTCGTATTAAGAAATTAAGAGTAGCTTATTATAATTTGCCTAGTTATCTTTTATTATCTTCATCATTTATTATTATAGTATTTATTTATTATCTTTTGTTTTTTTTTAATTGATTTTATAAGTTTTTTTAATTTGCTTATAAAAAATTATAAAAAGGTACATAGAAATCCTCTGAATAAATGCTTTAAAATTGGGTAGCAGAGTGCCAGGTTGAACTGCATTGTTGGAAAACACCTACTTGCAGCACTATGTTGTCGACTGCATCAGTAGGAGAGTGCCTAATTAGACAGCATTTGCATCATTTAATAGAGGCATATCTAAAAAGGATGTTTGTATAATGCCTTTCTTGTCGTCCCAGTGGCAGAGAAAGATTGGAAAATAAGACTATAAAAAACAATTATAAAGTGTATGCAGTTGTTTTTTTAAAAACAGTAAAATCTGTTTCTTCTTTCAATGAAACTTGTGAGAGGCTACCATTCAAATTAAAAAAAAGTAACTAAAATCAAAAGTATTAAAAAAATGAAAAAATAAAAATGTAAAGACAGAATAAGAGAAGTAAAAAAGAAATTAAATGTTATCACAGTCAAGACTAGAAAATGCAATTACGTTGTTTTTAAAATTGTCATGAAAGTTAATGAAGTTTAAAAATAAATGAATGAATGAATAAATAAAAAATTAGCATGATACAGCAGAACTTGTATTGTGCTTCTCATGATTTACTTTAGGAAGAAGTGCTCTCTTCACTCACAACAAATTATGCATTCCAAGTTCAGCCAGCTGAGACAGACAATAGTGTTTTCCCAAAATGAGAGGATTTTAATTTTGGAATCACAGTTTTTGAAATTTGTGTATTGAGTTTTTGAAACTGGTTGGATCTGTTCCCTCTGGTAGATTGAAGCATTTTCAGCCAAAAAATCTTTTAAGAGTAGAGCTTGTTTGAATGTAATTTTTTCTGGCATATAAAGCCAATGTAGCTATCTCTGATGTATTGGAATATGGGATCATATTTTGAGGAGCCTGTTTGACTTGATGCTTTGTAACACTTTTTGCCTTCATTCAATTAAGAAAGGTTGAAAAAGGCAGAAATGTGCAGTTAACTGGCCAATTAGTTTAAAAATTATAACCTTTTTTTATTACAAATTCAAGTTATAATTTTCAGTCTTAGTTTATGCATGGTTTCATTTATGTTGGATGTTTTCAGTAAATGTGTTATCTTTTTGCATGTTTATTATTAGATTTTTTTAACATTGAATCACTTATCATTCACAGATGTGGTAATATAAATTTTGCTAGACGTTCAAAGTGTAACAGGTGTGGCAAAGGTATGTTTATTACATTTTTTATTGCCCATGGTCTGCAATCATTTTGATTTTTAATTTTTTGTTAGAAAAAGATGAAGGAATTGAAATTAAGAAACAAGGCACAGAAATTGGAAAGTTGATGGCAGAAAAAAGTCATGGATTGTTCAGTGCTGATGACTGGCAGTGCAAGACGTACGTTTTTACTTTTATTAGATGTGTAGGTTGGTGTAGGTGTGCTTGTGTTCTGTGCTTGTGCACATATTGATAGTTGCATGTATCAGTCTACCAATGTACTTTTTCATAAGGTAATGTGTGCTGATAAGTGTGAATGTTTTTTTTTACTGGACGTGTGAGCTTCTACATAAATTTGTACATGCACTGCATGTTTTAATTCATTCTCTTGTTCATTTTATTTGTTTACATCTGTTGATAAACTTTTTTTGTCCATTTTAAATTTAGTTTTTCAATTCATCATTTGTTATCTGGTTATTTATGTTGTTAATTGTTATATTATATTGTGTTTTAATATGTTATTGTATTATTAAAACTGAAGCTTCGTCTTTGATCATCAAGAGGTTTAGGCCTCAAAATTTTTAAAAGACTTTTCCATACTATTTCCGCCATCAAGTATAAAATGTTTAAGATATATAATCTGATAATTTTACTCAAATTGATTCCAAAACTCTATTACAATTAATTTTATTGTTTAGGTGTGGAAATGTAAATTGGGCTAGAAGATCTCAATGCAATGTATGCAATACTCCTAAATTTTCTAAAGCTGAAAAACGCACAGGTAAATTGACTATCTACAATTTATAATTTTGTTGCTAAATCTGTTAAATAGTTGCATGTTAGCCGAAAATATGTGTTTTGCACAACAAATGAGAGCTTGAGTTAGGGAAAATTAATTTAAAGACTTGTTTGTTAGCATGGTAACATTGATCAACTTGACTGAGCGTGAACGTACTCAGAGTTAGATAACACAGAGACAAGTTTTATAAGATCACCACTCGGTTTGCATTCTTATAAATAAAAATGTTATATATATATATATATATATATATATATATATATACATATATTTGTTGAAGGGAGACCATGTGTTATACAGCATTATGTGAATTCTACTGAATTAAATTTTTTTGAGTAAATAAAACTCAGGATATACTACAATAAAGGTTTCTTAAAGGTTACTCTCTCTCCCTCTCTCTCTCTCTCTCTCTCCCTCTCCCTCTCTCTCTCTCTCTCTCTCCCTCTCTCTCTCTCTCTTTTTTGCGTTTGCTTCAGAGGTTTCAACGACAAACACACACAGCGTATATGAATACGCGTGCAAACCACGCATCATACACATTGCATATGATAGGTGGGGATCTCTTTGTATTCGAACCCAGTCATTACAATAGCAAGACCAGGCGCCTTTAACCATTGGGCTATCACGCCGCCCTATAATTGTAACATCACAATAGGTCCTAAAGACGATTCTACTTTGAAGCCTAATCATGTGATATATGAATTTAAATGCCCTTTTTATTGACGACTGTGCACTTCAACAACATCCGTATATTGGTGTTACAACCACTTCACTATCAACATGTCTCACAATGCATACCCACAGGGGAACCATCAAATCTCACTCGCAATCAACACATGCAACTCCAATAACCCACAAAATTCTTTACAACAACATAAAAATAATTTATCAAAACACCAATACAATACATCTAAAAATTGCAGAAGCGGTCCTAATAGATATCAATAAACTCCAAATAAACATCCAGATTGTTTACATCATTACCATGATTACATCATTACCAACTCGGCGCCTTAATACTAAGTATTTCCTTACTCAAAATGTTAGTATTCACTTTAAACAAACATGGAATCAACAAAGTAGAGTAGAGGCACAGGATATATATATTTGTGTATCTGGGCACAACCACAACATATCAATTGGAACACCGAAGATGGTATAGTAATACCGAAAAAATGCTGTTCTGTTCTATCATGCGTAAAATAAACAAAAATTTTGGTTTTGAACTAGTAATACCGAAAAAATGCTGTTCTGTTCTATCATGCGTAAAATAAACAAAAATTTTGGTTTTGAACTAACTAAAGAAACTTAAAAATGATTTATGATCAACCATTAGATAATTCAAAAAGTTAAATTGGAAGTTAACTAACTCCAAACATGCTGTGATTTTCATCAATAATATATATATATATATATATGTATATATATATATATATATATATATACATGAAAGGTGTTGTTCATATCAATGAATGTTTTAAAATGTTAATTCAACGCATACAGGCTATGGCGGCGGGTACATGGAAAGGGATGAAGTGATTGAATATAAAGAGAGAAATGATTCAGATGATGAGTTTGATGAGGTTTGTTTATCTTTTATAATTATTAATTTTTATCGTTGTAAGTATCAATTGATTTCTAATTTCTAATCTGCTAGTTTGGAAGAAAGAAAAAAAAGTTCAGAGGCTCTGTTCAAGGTTCTAGTTCTATTCTTCAAGATTGTGCTGACAAAGATCTGGATAAAGAAGAAAATGTAAAAAAAACCATTGATCAAAGAAATAAATATGAGGAAGATGAAGATGAAGAAATTAAAGATGTCTCAAAGTATAAACTTACTGATGATGAGGTTATTTTTTCATTCTTAATATTTGATTGGTAAAAGAACTAAACTAAAACATTAAAAAAAATTGTTGACCCTAAGCTAGGGTTTTCAAACTTGAGTACTTGGACTAGCCAAGTCATCATAATTAATGGATTTTGGTTTCAGTTGAAATTTAGAAGGACTGCAGTAGCGCCTTTTATTTATTTTCCAATGCTACAGTGGCTTGTTAGTTTTTTCAATAAAAAAGGTGGATAAAATGTTTATCCCACATTTTCATTGAAATTTAATTTTTATTCTTTTTGCAAATTGATGAAATATTTAATTTTCTGTTGTGGTAAAAAATTCAGCAAGAACTAATAAACATTTGTTGCTGTTGTTATGTCTAATAGGGGAGCAAAAATTCAGGTTTATATCAGTACAGAACATGGGCAAACATGGCGGTACATAGTCAATCAATCCACTAGTTTTATCTAAAAATGATTATTTAGAAAGATCATTTATGGTGAATTATGATTTGAAAGTTATGACTCATCTCTCAGTCAAAGCTATAAATGGCAAAATGTTAAATTAAAGGGTAATGTGATTGCTGATAAATTTTTATTTTCTCAATCATTAATTTTTTGACTGCAAGTGTGGCGATTTTTAGCTTATAAATAATAAGATCTAAGTTTTACCGAAAACTTCAGCATAATTCAGCATAAATGATCTTTCTAAATAATCAATTTTGGGTAAAACTAGATCTTATTATTTATACGCTATACACATATATATATCTTATTATTTACTAAAACCAGATCTTATTATTTATACGCTATATATATATATATATATATATATATATTATTTATACGCTATACATATATATATATCTTATTATTTACTAAAACCAGATCTTATTATTTATACGCTATATATATATATATATATATATATATATATATATATATATATATATATATATATATACTTTTTTACCCTCAATAATTTTGGTTCCTAGTTGTTAACAGTCTTTTATTAAAAATACTTCTCTTTAATACCCACTCAATAAAAATTTGCTTTGCTTGAAGGATTTCCTTCCTGGAAC